GAATCTCAGGCAGCCCGAGGCCAAAGAGTGATATGAGCAGCCAAACGGCCCATTTGAATTCTGATGATCTATGTTGCCTTTCATGTGGCTTTGTAAAGAAGTTTCAAAGCACTGGCTTTGGCGGCTCATGTGAACACTGAAGCATTTGTGCCGATCGGTGCTTGCACCATACAGCACTGCAAAAGATTGAATTTGCTGCAACTCCAACAGCATCTTTAGGAACAAGAAGCTATTAGGGGCTCCTGGCCTTATATACTACCAGGAGCAATGTTCGCTACTAGGGGCTCCTGGCATCGCTTCTAGGAGCGTTCGGACGCTATTAGTGGCATCTCCTCAAAATCATGAGCCTCATGGTTGGTATAGTATACGTACTGTCTGCTGATTTTTCTTCTGGCCCTGCTAGATCCTACACCTTCTTGGCCAGTACCAACTTGGCTGAGTTCTATGAGCTGTCTTCCGTTGGAATAGCAGCCTTTGAAGGTTTGGTGAGACTTGGCTGTTCAACCTCATGTTCAGCCAGCTAGATTGATTCTTGCAGAGATCTAGGCACGATCTGCATGTGGTTTCAATACGAAATTGGTCCCGGGCCCAGTTCCAACTCTGCTCTCAGCTGCTCTCCGCTAGCTTGGATCACCCATCACTCCGGTCCGGACCTGTCCCACCAACCGGAGTCGCGTCGCGTGAGTCCACCTGGGGAATGGGTTTAGAGTGTTCCAAATGGATCCTGTCCACCACATCAAACGGTGTTGATTTAGCGTGAAAACCGGCATGGAAGAGATGTCATCTTTGAAGAAGTTCGCTGAGGTGGTATGGAGTTGCATCGTGAGCACTAGGACATGAAGCAGGTTTTCTAGCATGGAGCATGCATAAAGGCAAGAAACATGGTAGGAACCAAATGAATAGTGCGAGTGCTATCCTGCGTCCTAGGTAGTAGCGTCCTCTAGCTACTAGCTACCTAGCTGCCTAGCTACCTACCTCTACCGGCCTACCCACCCACCCAAAAAAGAACACGTACGTGTTGCGCTTCTTGCGTCACTTGGCCCAAGGGGGGCCAATGTGCCCAGATCGGCATGGCGCAAAGAGCCGCATCTGCGACCATTGCGTCTGCGACCAGTGCGTCTACGACCGTTGCGTCTTCGCTTGGGTCACAACAGCTCTGTGTGGCTGCACGTGGTCAAGCCAGCCGTGAAGAACAATTCTTTGCGTATTGGATTCTTCCTATGCCTTCTATCACTGTGACTGACAGCTGAGACTTTGGAAATCAAGAAGCTCTTCACGGTGACTTTGCAAGCTGACTTTGCAAGCACGCGCACGCCCACACACACAACGCATGATTGTCGTGCTAGGCCGCTGGGCCCGCTTGAGTCTGCGCCAACTGCACCAAAATTCCTGGCCGCCTAGATGGATACGATGAAATCTTGAGCCACTTTTCGTACATCAAAGGGAGGATTCTCCAAGAAGCCTTGGATGTAGTGCCGAGCATATCTGTGACTTGCAGCCTCTTCCTGTAAGAGTCTGGTTCTCTCATCCTCATCCTCTACTAAGAAAAACTCAAAGATCCTGGCCTTGATGGCATCCCGCTTGGCCCTCCTCGGGCGTCCCCCCTCTCCGGGAGCTGCGTGCGCCAGATGACAATAGTCGCAGGACTGCTTGGCACAGCCACGGGATGATGCCCAGAAAATGCAGGGTTTGCAGGTGCCATTGGCATGGGAGCCCTCTGATTGACCTGTAGCATCACTAGGCTGGCCCTGCGATTCTCCTGCCTGTTCAGACGGGCAATCACTGGCTCTCATGATCCGACGGCGCCCGAAAACAACCCCCGGGTCTGAGCTTGCAGCGTTCCCACATCTGTTTCTGGCTTTCCTGAAGATGTCTTTCTAAGAATCTCAGCGCATATGAACAAACATGCGTCCAACTACTATGACCTCGTTCTCCTTTTTGCGTGCAAGTTGTCTAGAGGGTCACTTCATGGCTTCGAACTGCCTCGATACAGCAACGGGGATGGCGGTTTGTGTGGCGCCTCGCACATAACTCTGCACTTGGCTGAACTGCGGTCTTGGGGGCAAGCTCGTGGAGGGGAAGGATGAAATTCTGGTGGCCCTGCCGCAAAAGGCACCCTGAATTCGAGTTGGAGTCAAAAACAGAAAGGATCCTCTGAGCCCAGTCCAGTTGCGACAAACTCCCTCAAAAGCTCCAAAGGAAACAAGAAAAGGGCGCAGGAAAACACCTGCGCAGGTCTTGTTGCTGAAGGTAACCAGTTGGTCAATTGCCTCCTAAATCAATCCAGGACGTCCCAACGTGGTCGCATGAACCCAGCTGTCTTAGGCAGCTCCAACTCATCCAGTCTTCGAGGCTGTTCCTTTTTTCCGATTCACCGGGTGGACTGAGTGGCCCGAGCCAAAGTAGGTCTGCCCCCTCAAGGCAAAGGCGAGCAGGAAATGGACATCTTTGGGTTTTCTGAGGCAAAGCCTGTTCCTTTCTCAACAAGGACAGGCCCAGTCTCGGCACTGGGTGAAGTCCATGATGCTGGATGGATGGAACAAATGTTCAAGTCGTGTAGATGTTCATCTTTGTTTCTAATAGCTTCTTGTTACTACTAGTAAGGCACCTGTTACTACTAGCGTGGCACTTGTTACTACTAGCTTCTTGTTTCTACTAGCTTCTTGTTGCTACTAGTAAGGCACTTGTTACTACTAGCGTGGCACTTGTTACTACTAGCGTGGCACTTGTTACTACTAGCTTCTTGTTTCTACTAGCTTCTTGTTACTACTAGTAAGGCACTTGTTACTACTAGCGTGGCACTTGTTACTACTAGCTTCTTGTTTCTACTAGCTTGGGTTACTACTAGTAAGGCACTTGTTACTACTAGCGTGGCACTTGTTACTAATAGCTTCTTGTTACTGGTATGTTTGAGGGATGGACATCTTTGTGACGCTTGGCAGATGCAAGCGAATAGAGAAGGACATATTACGTCTCCAGTGGCGTACGCTGGCCCTCACGGATTCCGGTCAGTGATGACTGTCTGATTGGAACCCCAGCACACTGTTGTTCGAGGCTCATCAGTGGAGCCTGAGGCTCGAAGTCCTTTGTTTCAGGACCATCTTGCAACACATCGTGAATCATACCTATTTCTTTACAGCTATCCCACGCAAAATACCCAACTTTAACCAACAGAGAGAATGGACACTTGGATGCCTTGATCTGTTCTCATGAGGACACCTTGCCTCAACCCATACAAGATCCAACACCCGAAACCCATCCGCCAGTGAACGAACTACCATCAGTCTGGACCCCTTGGCGCGACTACCATTGGCCTCGCTTTCCAGGTGGCGATCTCTCCGCCGATGCGACGGTCGATCCACATCTTCAGGGAGACCGAGGGCCTCAAACGCTGCCCACCAGGTGCGAACAGAGGCGTTTCAAGTCCTTTTCAAGCGGTTTCCTACAGGGACGGCCACCCGCCGGTTTGGGACGATGACCAGGTCGGCGTCCCATAAGTACCAAACTGACAAAAGCAATTCCTGGCCATGGCTTTGAGTAGTGCGTGAATGGAAGTCTTGTAGTCAATTCGGTTGTCGCTTGGGGGTTGTTGACATCAGCTGTGTCTCTCGCGTTTAGGGTTGTTTGTACATACCCCTTGAAGACCCCTTGAAATTTACTCATGACTCGTCCCTCTGTGAGTTCCATCCTTCCTGATTGTCCCGGTTTGGAGACATGTGGCGGGTCAGATGACCCATCCATGTGTCGAATCATCTGTCAATCCAGTGTCCACCTGAGAGGTCCCATGTCCTTCTCTGCAGGTTCCCGGAACCGAAAATTCATCCACCCGGAGCATGTTCACCCATCCCCAACTCCGCGTTCGCATCCCTTCGTTCTCGGGTGTTCTCGGGTCCCCCAGCGCGTTCGCCAGGCAGACACCGCTGGCGTCCCGGATCTGCGGACAAGGAGGGAGGGGGTCATGCCCTTGTTACTAGGAGAGAGGAGCTACTAGTAGTAATGGCCTCCAACCTACTAGCGATGGCTTCCAGCCTAGTAGCTTCTTGTTCCTAGTAGTAATGCCCTTGTTACAAGGCAAACAAGGGAACGGCCGTTTTCACTTCTACCGATTTGATGCCTCATGAAAAAAGGCGACCTCCGAAGTTCGCCCGAGGAATTTGGCGGGTAACGAACTGGTTCGAGTTAACCATTGGATGGTTTATGATGTTTTTCTTGATGGTTCCTTTTCAACAATGTCAAGAACTTCTACAGAGTTGTTGACCCCATTGGATCACTGCCACGCAAACAAAGGAACCGCTTTTTCCAGCACATCCATCTGTGAGCGCTGGAAGACGCGCGGGAAAGTCCCAGGTGGGGCGCAGCCACGGGAAACACCGCCGCGGCGCAGCCCCGGCGCAGGCTGTTTGTGGGTGATCAGTGATAATGATGAGTGTCTCAGACTGAGGGGGATGTACACACCGACGGCCTTTGTCTTTGGTGTATATCTATATAAATCCCGTGGTCAGTGTTCAATCATTTCTCTTGTTTCTCATGCTTCGTGTGAGACATACACCTGGCTGCAAATGATGCAAACCCTTGTACTCCGAGTGAAGTCACCAAGAATCAACAAATCTAGAGTCCAGTCCACCAATTGCTGTTTGGAAGGCTTCAAGAGGTGGAGTTCTTGTCACGCCCCCATGGCCACTGTCACTCTTCTGTGGGGATGAAGCCCACTTCGACGGTAAATCATGCCACACGGTAAATCATGGTACAGTAAGTCTATATGTGCTTCAGAACTAGATCAGAATGCCCTGAGATTTTCAGCAAAGCTGCCTAAGGTACCCTGCTCGAACAGTGTTGGGTGGTGCTTGCTTCTTGGAGCGTCGACTGCGTCAGTGTTCAGTGCCTCTCTTGTGCAGGCCAGAAATTCTCTAGCACCGCTGAGCGGCTCGTCTGCGCCCATGGGTCTATGCTGCTTGGTCACAGCTCAGCAGTCGTGTCCACTGTCTACTGCGGTCTTCTTGATCATCGAGTCAGGCCCTATGAACAAATCCTTCCTTGTGCAGGGGCTGCAATGATTATCTGGATTATCTGCGTTCCATAGCTGTAGTGGTCATGTTCAACCTCCTACGAACCAGGGCTACAGCCCCACGCAGCATGAAGGGACAAATGTAGTGCAGCAAGGAGGCTTGATGTATTCTGAGTTTACTGATGATGGAATTGCCTTCAGTCAAAGAGTCAGTTGTCTTAGAAGTGAACGGATAGTCTGTTCTGAATTGTGACGAGCAATCTCAGTTCCAATTCTGTAACCGAACTACTTGTTCCAAGCAGCATGCCTTTCTGCTGCCCACTTCTCACGGAACAGGCCATGTTCGGCACTCAGATGGTCAGTCTTCCCTGCGACGTCAATGCAATCCCCTGGACCCCCGTAGAACCGCAAGCACCACTTTTCACATGCGGGGTCACTTGAGTTTCAACAAAAGGACATCGTGACTAACTGCAGCAGCGAAGAATTTCGTACATAAGCTTGTAAAACGTCCTAAGCTGCTAAGTTTAAACGGCAACCTCAGCGAAATCCTGACCTTTGTCACGACTCATCGCAGAAGCATCTACCATTTTTTGGTACCCTTCGTGAAAAGCCATGACTGCGAGAAGGGTCAAGATGAAGTCATTGTTTCCATCCTCTACCAGCGCAGTTTGTTGTGATCAACCGGACAACCACCGACCCACCGAGACCCACCGACCGGGTCGCGCGCAGCCGCCGCCGCGGGACACGCTGGGACGTCCCAACTTCCGGTCTCGCTGGATCTCCTGCTGTTGCCTCTCCTGCGCGACGCAGGTCACGGTGGAGGGGGCGATGGGGGCGACTTCGCGCGCCTTTTTTCGAAAGGGGGCGACTCTGTCTTTCAATGCAGGAACGGGCAGGAAGAGCTGGTGAAGTGTCTCCTGTTTGTTCCAATTCACCTTCGGTTCCATGGAAGTCCTAGTTCGGTTCGGTTCGGAGCTCCTCCACGGACGTCGGTGTCTTTTGACCAGTCCAAGGAGCCGTCTGGGATGCAACACGTGTCGGGATCTAGGACGTTCAAGAAGGCCAAGGACGTTCATGTGGCTTTGACTTTCGGGGTGTTTGGTCTTGAAACGCTGTCTCATACAGGAACCTGTAGCAACTTTGCAACTCTTTTCTGGGAACAGTGGACCAGTGGTTCTTTGACAAACAACATCTATAATACAATTCAATAAATATTGCATATGTCCTTCATGATTGTTAGTACAAACTCACAAGACGATGCTTTATCAATGTTTCATCTAATGCCATGCACGCACGCTATTCAGAATAAGGGCCTCAAGCTTTTTGCTTTGTGACCTCCAAGCCGATAGATACACCGACAGCATTATATACTACAGTATGTTTAAAATGGTGCCTTTTTGCAACTACATGTATAGCCAGTGGGTCTCCTCAAGAATGTCCTTTCTGTACCTTGTCTATCGTTATACCTGCACATTGTCGTCTCCTTTTCTTCCTCCACCATCGACTGCAGCTTCCTTGGCAGGCTATGGACGTGGTGGTGGACATTAAAGACGATGCTTTGAAAGGAAGCTGGGAACCCAAAAACAATGGTGAAGAAAAAAAATAGTCAAACCCGGAAGTCCCCGATATTCACAAAGCCAAGAAATGCGAACCCTAACATGGACATGCCTCCAAGAGGTTGTGCTCAATGGTCGATCTCATCAATAGAGGGTATCAGCGAAGTGTGGTCACCGACTTGGGCTATATTGCATGGGCCAGCTATGCTTAGAAGTGCTGAATGAAAAAGCATGCAATTCCAAACAGTCATGTTCATCGATCCAGAGATGTATCTGTCCCCACGAAGAAAATCTTTCATCTGATGATTCTAGTGCTTTGCCCTATGAACCCGCCGTCCGGATCAAAACACAAGTGGGTTAACCAGTTGACCGTTTACCATTGGTTCACCCACCTCGCAGAGCCTCGCAGCCATGTGTTCTTTCGGAAAAGAACAATAAGTTTCTGCTTGGCCTGGTTTGCGGAAGAACTTTGGAACATCCAAGGTACCCAACCCGGACGTCTGTCTCCAACACCTCTTCGCGCACACCCACACCCAGCTCATGGCCATCTCCAAGCGACGGAAGGAAGAACATCGCACCCATGCTGACCAGACCTGCCATGAGCAGAATTCAAGTGTCTGGTAGAATGCGTGTTCCAGGAAGATGCGAAACTGTGGATTCCGGAGCTGTTTTCTCTATGCTCCCAACAGCTACGCGGAAGGAGGGAAAAAAAGAACAATAGAGACAGGGAATTACAGAGCTTGCAGAGCTGTGAAAGAAATAGGTGAAACAGAACACTCCACCAAAAAACAAGAGAATAGAAACCAGCCGAACATGCAAATACACTACGCATCAGACAGCACAAGAGTCGAGAGTACCAAGAGCAGTACCATGAGAGGCTCGAAAGCCTTTGGGACTCGGCGCACCAAAAAAAGGGGTGCACAAAAGGGTGCACAGCAAAAAAGGGTGTATATATATATATATAGTATTTTATGTAAATT